GGCATAAGAACTGAGGATTAGATTACGAGAGCATATCATCCGACCAAGACTTCCAGCTTTCCACTAATATATATGAGATGTATACTTTAACACAACATTCAATAATATTCGTGGATAAACCTTATGTTGAGAGGATTACATTAATACACTGTACCTTCTTCGTACAAGCGAATAACCAATTAGAATAAAACAAACTGTTTCTAAGGATGATATTGGGTACATCTGATATTTTTCGTTCTCAACCTTTGTATTACTTACACATTCTCTTTCTAAATCGTCATACATCAGCCCCTTTGGTTGGTCACTGAGATTGTCCCCATACTTCACAAACACCTCCATCAGTTTTTTTTATAGCCTTTGAAGACAACGATGAAGCTGATGCAAGGCTGAATTCATGACCATATTTCATCCTTAATTTCCGAAAGATGTGTCTGACATCTGTTTCTTACACACCTGTGGGTGAGAAACCCATTTGAGATATCTGATATCAAACATATGTGCGAGATTGAAATCCAGGCCCGTGATTGGCTACCCCATGGTGATGACATAAGTTGCTCGTGCAACAAATGGTCTTTGTCACCAATGCAAATTATCAGATGAAATCATGCGAAATAAATTAGGTATGGAAACGAAAACTGTACTTGCTGAAATGTAAACAAAGCAAAATTCAGATTTTACACTGTGTAGCATTCATTGTCAGAGGTACTTTCGTCTAATTGTTGCATACATCACGCGTTTGAGAATATTCATGGGAAGAGTATCGTTTCACTAATTATGGAATTACACATTACATTATACATTACAACGATGTAGTAAATTCAACAGAAGCCGTGAAGCTTCCGTCCTGTGTGACGCCATGACTGACGCTACATCACGCACAACGACGACGGTACTAGTTATCTGCATTGCTGACTAATTCCCATTGTCACATTGGAAAACATGGTAAACCAATAACAGTACGCAGATTGTCAGAATGTTTCTGATTACTTACATGACACATTTATGTGTATACGATCCCTCAATCAACGAAAATCCTCCTCTGGAAATCCCGCATACTGTTGTCAGTGAACAGGCTATTTTGTAAAAAGTCAGTAAACATTGTTGTACGTATTTGGTAATTTCTTTGAGGTGTAAACGTTTTACTCGGCACACGGAGTGTTCTTTGTATTTGTCTAGTTTGCATTACCATCGCCTTGATAATCTATAGATATGGCGTAAACCTTTTTGTGTAGGGTCACATTATTTATGAGCAGTAAGCAGTACATAGGATGACGTCACTTATGACAGTGGTGTTATGTATAAATGCGCTAGTGCAATCATGAGAATAGACAAAATGCATCGGTTTGATGCTAAAAAGGTGCGATTTTAGGGTGTGTAAGAAACAGATTACTGCACTCGTGCCTGTCAGATACCATTGATCTTACAACTCGTTGTTACAAAGTGTATCTAACTCGCTTTCGCTCGTTAGATACGTTTTGAAACAAGTCGTTGTAAGATCAATGGTATCTGACAGACACTCGTGTAGTAATCTCCATTTCTGTTTTTGTAAGGAACATAATCACAGCATTTCCACAAATTACATTTCCGGCTTGGGTTTGTCAAAAAATGCACCTTAAACCTAAAGGAAACGAAAACGCTCAATTTAAACTTATGTTTATTATTGGTTATTAAGTGTGTACATTTTATATACGGTATAATTTTTTAAATATATCATTCCTTTGACGTGGATTTATGAAGCCACTGTTAGATAACTTTTCGATATCCTGTTGCTTAAAGATATACATAGTATGCAAAGCGGACATAAAAGCGCCAAGCCACGTCGCCCGAACGCGTGACTGCATGTTGATGCTCTCGTGACGGCATCGTGGTTACCGTATTTCCTCTATTAGACGCCCGGGCTTCTATTTATTTCGGACAAGCCTTTGACCCGGCGTCAATTAGAGGCCCGGCGTCTATTGGAGGCCCGGCTTCTATTAATACCCCCATTTCACTATGACCACGAATGTCCCGAATCGTCACGAAATGGAAATATTTTGAGTTCGTAGATATCCGTATCAATTGATCGACCCGGCGTCTATTAGAGGCCCGGCTTCTATTTTTTGCACTGAACAGTTGACCCGGCTTCTATTAGAGGCCGGCGTCTATTATAAACCCGGCGTCTAATAGAGGAAATACGGTATGTTGGTCGGTTTTACTTAGGCTCGCCAGCACGTGTGTGGTACCGTGTTGTCCCGGTCACCATAGAAACGGTTTGGCGTAGAGTTGGCTCTACATAATAGTGTCTAATCGGGACACCTTGGTACTATGTAACTCGACGCTTTTACTGAAACAAAAACTACCAAGTGCAGGCCGCGATTACATGATTATACCCACTTGCTAACTCTACATTGGCATACACCAACTTCCTTGTGTGCTATCACTGGACCCAGTTGACTCACACTCAACAACAACGCCCTTTCTCTCATATATGTTATGTAAGCAATACTCCCTTATCAGCGGACGTTTTGTATTCAAACATCTATTTTAGTCTCATGTGTACACACATACAATACGATAATAATGAGTTATGCGTCAGGTTTATTGATCGGTGTGCCCGTATTTTCCCTTCACGGTTGTGCCCTTTAGGCGTGAGGCGGATAGCATATGACGTCAAGTGATCATACTGGGTTATAATAGTAGAGCACTCGGACTAAAACCCCGTATGATAAACACTCAGGTGTCATCAGTGTTGTGTCACTGTGACATCTGATACTGCTTGATTACACCAGGCCGTAACTTTTGTTTGGATGGCAAGTTCAAGAAGAATGTGTGTTGGGATACAAGTACACTGTATATTATACACATTACTGGTATAGGGAAGTACTCTGACCTACTGGTGTTTGGCTATACTGTTACACTGTGGTGTTGAGATATATTGTGACTTGCTGGTTTGAGGATATACTATGACACTACGGGATATACTGCGAGTTATTGGTTTGGTAATGTACTGTGACCGGCTGGTATAGGGATATACTGCGAGTTATTGGTTTGGTAATGCACTGTGACCGACTGATATCGGGATATACTGCAAGTTACTGGTTTGGTAATGTACTGTGACCGACTGACACCGGGATATACTGTGACATTACTGTTATTTGGATATATACTGTAACATTACTGATATCAGGATATACTGTGACTTAATGATTTTCAGATCTACTGTGACCTACTGGTATGAGGATATCTGTGACCCGTGAAGACCCGGGTTAGAATAGGTCTTCAGCAACCCATGCTTGCCATAAAAGGCGACTATGCTTGTCGTAAGAGGCGATCAGGTGGTCAGGCTCGCTAACTTGATTGATGCATTTCATCGATCCCAACTGAGTGGATCGATGTTCATGATGTCAATCACTGGATTGTCTGTTCCAGACTCGATTATTTACAGACCGCCGTCATATTGGTGGAACATTGCTGAGTTCGGCGTTAAACAACAAACAAACAAACAATGTATATACTGTAATATTACTGGAATCGGGATATATCGGTATATGATTAGTTATGGTGTCTTTAGCTGCCGTATACGGTGTCATATAAGGTTAGTAGAAAAATATGACACTGTATACGGCAACTAAAGACACCATAACGAATTTATTATGCCGAAAAGTTTACACTATTTGGTATTTTTGTCGTACATGTCATGTCAAAACTTAAAACTCAAAACGTAACACTTACAACCTGAGACGTTAAGGGTCAAAGGGAGACTACTCTTCAAACCTCAGAGGCCAAACCTTGTTGATAATTTTAACAAGTCTTGAACGTGATCCAAAAAAACACGAACGAACGAACGAACAAATGATATTTAAACACAAAATAAACACGAATAACGAATTTCTGTATAATTACTGGTGCTATCAAGATATACTGTAACATTACTGTTTTGGGATAAACAGTACATTACTGGTTTCGTCATATACTGTGACTTAATGGTTTGGGAATATAGTTGTACACAGTGGTGTTGGAAAATGTATTTAACTGGCGTTATACATACTGTGGTCGTACTGGTGTAAGGATATACTGCCCTTCAATTTGAACAATATGTCATGTATACAACGGCATGTCAGCTTGTCGTAGGAGGGCATGCCAGCATGAAACAGGTCGTGTACTCAGGAACATAATCGGGACAAATACTAGATTCGAACTCAAGACCAGTGGTTCTTGGCAGTGGAGGACTTGTTTTCTTGTCACCATGGCATCTTGATAGGGTTAAACATATAACAAGGAAAGTAATTTGTATCAAAATATATTTATATTCAAATCTGGATACAAAATAACAATATGAATTTATATTTCAAATAAATTTAAAACAAGAATATGAAGGCACTTTTAAAACTATCACATATATATATATATATATATATATATATCTCAACAAAAATATTTAGGCCAAATAAATTAATTATTTGTTCTTTGATAATTCCTTATTCTCCAGGATGTTGTAAGTATCTTCACTGTCCAAATATGGATGACAAAATTTGGATTGTACAAAATAGGAAACAAAAAGTGAAAAAAATAATAGTAATGCTGTGTTAGCAGGATGCTGGGTCAGCTGTGGCGACGTAAAAACACAGGAGGAATTTAAGGAACACCGGTACCCTTCACTTTCCTCTCAAAGAACAACCAACAACCATTGTGGTGTGACTCCAGATCTGATAAATGTACATGTGTGAGAATAGTTTGTCTAAGATATATATATATACTGACTATGAAGCTGTGTATTTTAAAAACGTTGCATAAGTAACAATATTAACAAAGCTATATGTTAGGAGAGAGTATTATAATGATTACAGAGACATGAGATAACAAAATTATATAAGGTGGATTCTTTGTCGTAATTAATTTGGTCTTTATCATCTAAAGAAATGAAACATTAATGTCTTTGGGTCACATATTGAACTAAGTTATTGCGTTTAATACTTATGTGCAGTATTGTTCGACAAGTGGAGTTTTTGCACGTTATATTACCGACACCTTTTCTTAGTAATTAACACTACAAATCCTTTTGATGGCAGCACAGAGTGGAAGAGAAATGAAGTCATTTCGACGAGCAACATCAAACTGGGTATTGCAAAGTCCATTTATAAAACAGCACTTCCTCGAATTCAAACCTTTATCGTCATATCAAAATATCGAGAACATAGGTCGACTAAAAAATAATTTCTGCAATGGAACTTTGGACATCAAGCATAAATGATTTGATTCATATATAAGGGCTGGATCAATCAATTATTATTGAATATTTGGTGCGGTTTTGATCATGAGAACATATAATTTATTTTTCGCTCAGAATATGATGAATCTACTGAAACCTGTCATAAATAATATTACATAACTACGCAAAACATTTCACAGTGCAAAGAAGTCAACAAATAACAAAAATAACATTCTTGCACTTACCGGCACGTACTTTCGGCAAGAATAGAAACAACATTATAGTGAACGTATGGTTACTTGTATATGCGATGCAGTGTTATGTACAACGTGGTCGACTCATGTGCACTAACATGAAGGACAAGGTAGATCAAGGGTACCTTTAGGGACATTGTCAAATTATAAAGTTACATAAAAAGTTGGAATGACTGACAACTGGCATCCTTTCTTCTTTCTTACACTTACAAATTTTGTACTTATGACTCATAAAATACATGCGTATGACTGAAGTGAGTGTCAAAGGAGAAGATTTAAAGAAGAAAGATTTGTATATTGTCAAGTATGAGAACTAGCTTTACCCATGCATTTAGTGTTTAAACTAGTCCCAAACGTTCATTGTTAGAATGGTGAAAATCTAATTCCCATTCGTTTAAACGTATCTGATAAATTTCACAATGCTTTGTGGAGTTTATAATTTCTTACATTCTTCATATCTAAAATAAGCCCTTATCACATCTTGTATATTATTGTTTGCTTCAACTTGATTATTTATCAATTCAGTAAATAGTCAGACTGAATGCTTAATGTAAATCCCGACACCTTGAAGCCATAAATCCTTGGATAGTTTAAAAATATATAGTTATCTAGTTGCTCTTTGATTGTGATATTATGTTTTATCAATTGTGGTTGGAATATATATGTTCTATATGACATTTTTTAAAACCAGGGGTAATGATATATCACATAGTCAACACATAGAGACAAGCGCAGTAAAATAGTCTAAATGACTGTGTGAACAAATACGTTGTGTTGTTATAAAAAGTGGAAGAAACAAAGATGTATTAATACTAATAACAATGTTGTAACTATAATTATGCTATTGTAGCACTAAGCAGAATGCACCTGTGGTACTCAGACGACGTGTATTACATACACCAGTGTATTGTTGAACACTGTGATTGCAGCAACTTTCGTTAGAACTTTAATTGTCGCAACTATCCTGTACCAAGAGAGATTTTAACTCTCTCCACATGTTTACCGGCTTGTGTTGTCCCCTACAGCACTGTGGTTGGTTGTCCAGGTTCGACGTTCATGTACAGCTCTTCCGGGTCAGGCTCTGTAACAGTCATGCAAAGATGCTAGCAGCTTATGTACATTCATGCGATGAGTCATAAGTTTAGTACCATTCATGGATGAATGGATATTGTTGAAGATTTTTTCATAAACGTGTGGACAAGACTGGGATCCTTCTTCTTAAATATGATGTATGAACGTATATAAGCGTATGAACGACACATTTTACGTTCCTACGTTTTTCACGAGAATGTTTTCAAGGATGGACGTAAACATTGTCGGACTACTCCCCCATTCCTAGGAAATCTCGTGGGAATCCCTAGAATAAATAAATACCCTTCAATGATTTGGACCCTTTAATCATGAACTCAGCATTTCAGCAAGTTCCAACGATCAAACAACTTGGCCCTCTCACTCTACGAAGGTCGGTTCTCCAATGAACTCACACAAACTCAATTCTTATATGTGTTAAGTGATAAATTACTGTATCGGTACGCACTCGAGTGAAACAACACTTCATGTCTGAGCTACATGTGGTCTGCCTCACTGACTTCAGAGACTGATCGTGAAGGTCAGAAAATACTGTAAAAATAAAACATTTTTTCTTTTCTTGTTTCGCGACTGCTCCACTCATGAACATATTAACTTTATTATGTCACTAGATGAGATTAGCATGACATACATGTCATATATCGTCTATCATTAACACTAACCATATGCTTGGTTGGCATATATATTCTCCTCCGGTTTGAGATCGCTGTTCTGGTAGATGTTGTCTCTCTCCGCTATCTCCTTCTTCTTCCTGATGAGCATTTCCTTGATGGTGTCGTGGATGAAAATGTACTGTTTCTGAAAAAAATATTATAACGTGATATTATCGTTCGTGAATCATTGATATACTTACAGTACTGTAACAAATAAAATTTCATAAAACTGATAAAACTCAGAATATTACTTCTATTTTAGTGCCTCAAATGGACTAGGGTGTTATTTGTCTGGTACCTCTTTCTTCAACTCTAATATGGTGCACCTAACTTCTTGAACATAATGTTGTCCCTCCCTCTTCTTCAGCTCATTCTGTACCATTTGGTCTTCCAATTTGTATTGTCTAAGGCTCATTATTGCTTTCAGGAGAAGAGATCAATACGATTGTATGAAATTATGGTATCAAATGTCCATTGTGACGACTATATCTAGTGACGACTATAACTGACAATAACATATTAACGGCTATGTCTCATTACCTCTGTCTGGACCATGTAGGACCTGTTTTCCCTCATCTTCATCACGAAGTCAAACACGTCAAGCTCTTTGTCAAAGTTCTCCTCGTCTATAGCCTGCTTGAAGACGTCCAGAGAGACATACGTCCCAGTCCGCCCCACGCCAGCGCTGACAAAACATATCACAATATGACTGAAGCAAATCAAAAGAAACTCATACTCTGCGGTGCAATTTCCAATACTTAATATATATGGAAATACAAATGCATAATTATGACAATAATAACTTAATAGGTTAAACACGAAACAAAAATTATCAAACGGGATGTGAAGGTATGGCTATGAACACTGAATTCATGAATACGCAAAACAAAAGCGAAAGCCCTGATTTTGAACCTTTTAAAAACACAGGAGAAAATTTTACCTGCAGTGAACGCAGATTGGACCTTTGTCTGTGGGCTTTTTCTGCATCCGAACATCTCTGACAAAGCTGATGACGTCATCTGGGGTAAGATTAGCTCCGAAGTCCTGCCACCCAGGGAGGAAATAATGGCGGACCTTTCGACTTTCATCACCCTGAGTAGTAGATCGACCGAGTTTAACTATACATTGAATAATAACACAAACACCTTCATTCATGTAGTGACAATGTCTTATCGCGGTATGTGATCTTGTTGATATATTCTTGAAATAAATGAGTAGTGGCATTAATATATGTTCATAAACGTACAGTATTAAAACTAATGCTTCTTTTGGGTGGATTTCACAAGAACTCGAAATCGCTATATCGGTACACGATATTGTCCGAATATCAACAGTTACTGTATTATCACTTTGAAAACATTTGTATGAGACAATGATCATACAGCATTCGAAAGATGTTACGATTAAGCTTGTCTTATACGCGAAGACAGGCTCCATAGATTCAATATGACTTCATGCCATTATCATGTCATCCAGAATATCTATTTTGGAAATGAGAAAACAAAACGTACCACGGTTATCTGGAAGATTTTCATGATGTATTTGTTAAGCGGGGAATAGTTGATCATCTCCACGACAATTTCTCCATATTGAACCGCCTCCTTCATATTTTCCGGCCAATACCTATCTACCTTTGGCTGATGTTAGAAGAAAATTAAAAATAAGAAATACGAAACATAAATCAGTACGTTATGACTTGCGTAGACTCGTATGGTAATGTGATCCGAAGAACTCTTTTGAACGTAACTTCTGGTGGAATATAGCTACACAGTGCATAAAACCAACCTCATTCACTGGGGGGCAAACAGAGGTTTTACCAAAAATACGAATATTCTCGACTCACCCAATCTCAACACCATGAGTGAGTGAGTGTGGTGCTACGCCGCTTTTAGCAATATTCCAGCAATTTCACGGCGGTGGACACCAGAAGAAATGGGCTTCACTAATTGTACCATGTCGGGAATCGAACCCGGGTCTTCGGCGTGACGAGCGAAAGCTTTAACCACCAGGCTACCCGATCGCCCCTCTGAACACCATTGAAATGATCAACGTTCATGCATATATAGCACAAAAATTGCAAAAATAAGTGATGGTCATGTCAATATGACAGATATTGTAAATATTACTGTCCCACATTCATCGATAGTATGCATATAATGAGAGGGCACTGTATATAGCCCTATCCGCAAATGATATAAAAGGTATCGCGTTATACTTCCGACAATTGCTACATTATTCGTAATCTTCATGTTTCTTATATTACTTAAACCTCAGTCACACAGATAATGCGACCTGGCGACCAAATTATTTGACAATTTGAGCTTTAACTGAGGTCGTTACATGGTTTCAGAGCGGTCGCAAAACCTATTCAAGCGCAACCAGTCTTTTGAACATGGCTGCGACCGATTTGGTCGCTCGGAGGTTTCTCTGCTCTCCTAGAGGTCCCAAGGTGGTGTTATTTTAATCGCAGATTTCCACTGTGCGGCGATCGGTTTCGTCTACACAAGGGTGTTGACTCTTTTGCAACCTAGTGGCGACCTATCGGTAATTGATCAGTGATGTGGCGGTGATCGACTGGCGCGTCATTGGTGATTAGTTGTCGATTATTTCCAAGCGCGCGTCGATCTTTCACCGTTTGGTTTGCAGCATGTCACCGTAAAACATAGACTTGTCTGTGCATTTCAGCATCATTTTGTCATAAGTACTCAGAGAGTTCATATCATTTATTTCCATTCATCACAATGGTCCGTAAAGCCAGGAACACAAAGGAACCAGAAATTGTAGAAGATACAATAGAGACAACCGCTGTGGTGCAAAGGTCTGCTACAATTAAGCCAGAGCCAACAACACCTCAACAAAAGAAGAGACGGATACCTGATGAGGAAGAAGAGTCAGAGAGGTCCGATGTTGACATGCTCCAGTCTGAGGTAGCCCGTGAAATCACCACGACTTTCTCTCCAACTCTGCTTTCAGATTCTCATAGTCTCCTAGCTGTGGCCTTCTTGCGATCCAAGGTCTCAGCCAATACTGCCTTCGCCATGTCCTCATTTTTCTGTACACCATCATGGCAACAACTGCAGTATTTGATTTCTTCTGTGCAGGCGGATCAACTGCAGCTGTTCTGCTATTAACATCTTGACAACTTGCAAAGAAATGCTTTCATTCAGAAAAGCACCGTTCTTGTATGCATTATGTTTTGATCCGTGATCGAATGACAACTAGTCACCGACCATTCCCCGTTCAGTTGCAGCGGGTCACCGAAGATTCGCTGACTGGTCAGCGATCGGTCTCAACCAGTTGCATTTCGCCGTATCTGCGGTAAACAGTTGCCGATCAATCACTGACAAATTGCAAAACCTATCGCTGATTGATCGGCGATCATACCCTGGTTCCAAATATGGACAGAAGTAGTTGCACCGGTCTCAGCGATCGCCAGTCGGTCGCAAAGGAAATCAGTCACCAAGAGGTTGCATCGCGGTCGCATTGTCTGTGTGACTGTAGCTTTAAACAACTCTTTTTGGTACGCCCCATTCATACTATCTATGACTATTAAGCCTAGGTGTACGCATAAATAACCTGTCCGTCCATTTGGTTTACATATGAAACCATACCTTGCCCTTCTCCAGCAGGTCTGACAGCATGATGATGATGTTGACGTCCTGCTCCCATATCATCCTCCAGAAGTCCGCCACAGTCCCGGTCATAGGGCCCTGGGTGGCGATGAACTCACGTGGAGAGTTGTAACCCTGAAGTATGCAAGTACAATATATCATGAATGAAACGTTATCCTGATCAATCAGAGGTTTAACATCACAACATTTTATTTGAGGGACCTGATTCGGCACCCGAATCTTTACGGATGCTATAATGTAAATATGAAAATATTATGAAAATATTATTTTCATCATGGTCTGTAGGCAGTACCTAATGACAAGAGTATAATTTAGTAACTGTAACTTACAAAATGGCCGAGTTGTGATTGGGAGAACATTTTAGACAGAAGACTCTATGCAAAATCGACAAATAGTTTATGGAGTTTATTGAGTGAGGGAAGCAATTGCTTCACACACCGGTATGTAGTTAGCGTTGATATAGTCTGTCTCGTCGTCGTCATCGTCCCCTGTAGATCGCAGTTTTACTCGACTGTGGTCAACTGCAAAACAATATGAACAATTCGACGGTGTTTTCACCACATAACATTCTATTATGTTCACATCGATACAAGTACAGGCTTCATTCATGATTGCACAATATGACTTTGCCAAATAAAAAAAACACCAGGATATGAAAAGTTGCGAATAGTGTTGAGTATTGTCATGTATTGATAAATATTGATGATCAGAATGTAAGAAAAATTAACATTAAAACAAATTTAAATGTGACCTTGATCAACCATTAATCATAAACACTCAAATAATAAATACTGAAATAGTGAGACAGTCATATTCAACCTATATCATGGTGGTATCTGAATCGAACCTTGAGTATGAACAACGATTCACATAGTGGGGAACAAACAAAGAAAACACAATCAACCAATTACCACATTATAAATTTACCATCCAGTCCTTATTTGTCGTCTCTTTCGACAAGCGTGGGGTAGCTAGGTTCTAGTCCCCCCTAATACCTTAGGTAAAGCTTGTTTCACTTTTGGAATGTATGGTACTAACAAAATCCGGAAGGGAATTTACATTGTAGCCGTACTCACATGGTAAAATATTCACGTATCTGTTTCTCAGTTTGTTGCCGCCGGTTTCAGACGCAGTACACGTGTGCTTGGGACTCAGGGCTCCTATGTCCTGAAAGGAGCCAAAAACGTATCTCATTAAAACCAATATCGCAAAATACGTATACCAGTAATCACTGAGGAATCCAATGCGGCTCTGTTTACATTCTCTTTACATTCGGAAGTTCGTATTCACTTACGTGAGGATGCAATAATTTTGTTACGTTAATGGCAGTCAAATAGTCAAATCAATCAGTGTAAATCAGTGACCGTAAAGTGACATAAGACTAATATATAAGTACAGGAATAATAGTGTTAAATTGAATTCATTTTTTAATCTATATTGCATAAATTTTATTTACACGTCTCAACTCACCTCAAATTCTTCCGAATATAGTAGGTTGGAATCCTTGTGCATTTCTTCAACGCGCGTTTCGAAATCCTTCATTCTTATTGGCCTGTCAAGAAAAAACATGCAAACTGAAATGCTTTAAACAGTTATAAAATGTTTACGACAATAAATTGATGATAGATTATGCATATTTGAAACATTACTTGCCAAAAAAATGACAATGGGTCATCCGCCAAGTATTCCGCTGTTGCCAACAGTGAGTGATTGATTTTGGTTTAACGCCGCTTTTTACAGTATTCCAGTCATAAAGTGTCGTGTCAGCTAAATGTGGGAGGAAAGCCCGAAGTGATGCAGGTCTCAGACGTTTACCACGTCGGTGAAAACCACGAGCACTGGTATGGTGCTGACAAACCTAGAAACATAATCGGGGCGAACTGGGATTCTGTTGTCTGCGCCCCCTAATACCAGTTCTTTTAACGTAATGAATACTAATGTTAACATTCTGAAATATAAACCCCAGACCCACTCATACCGTTTCCTCAGGATAAGATCGCCGACAGCTTCGATTTCGGATGGATCAGCTTGTTTCATTTTGGCGTTTCTGAAAACAAACATTTTCTTTCTGTGAAAAGAGCGGAGCAACAGAAGCAAAAAAGGAAACACATTTCATAATGCATATCCATTCACACACCTATCGAATTATAAATATATGTCTTCGGATATGTCCGAGTACTTTGCACGTTTGACATTAGCATGGATACCCGGTGTCATCACAAATTCATATTGATTCATAGACACATGCTCAGGACGTAATCGGAATCATACAACGTTATTTGCGTTTTCTGAGATTTCTTGATGATTATGGAAGGGGTTTTGTCGTGCTTATTTGAAGAAACCGAATCATTTATGTCGCTGTGTATTTATTCTCAAACATACCTTCGTCGACGGATAATCACGATGACAATCACAACAATGATGACGACAATTGCGGCAACTACTGCTCCGATGACAGCACCCAGTAAAATCGAAGCTGAAAGTTCATGTACAGTTATTGATAGGTCATTTGAACTGAACTATTTAAGTCAGATAAATTACTTTGAATTAAGTATTTTATGAATTCGAATTTATCAAACTCAAGATATAATTTTTGAGACATACCTTTTGTCTTTACTTCAATTGACTGACTTGTTGTGCATCCTTGTTTTGTGCATGTAAAAGCGAAGACACTGAAAATAATGCCCAATGACAGTTGTTTTAGTAAAGATGTATTATATAGCTATATATATATATACATATACACATACCCATATCCATGTACATACATACATACATACATACATACATACATACATAATGTGTGAAGCCCATTTCTGGTGTACCTCGCCGTGATTTTGCTGGAATATTGCTAAAAGCGGCGTAAAACCATACTCTCTCTCTCACACACACGCACGCACGCACGCACGCACGCACGCACGCACACACACACACACACACATACATACATACATACATACATACACGGTCGATATTGCCAATAACTTACATAAACGTTTCTCCTGCAGGGAGTTTCCCATTACAGAATACGTCTTTTGGGTTTCCGCTGCAATCTTCTTCGCCAACGGTAAAGGCTAAAGTTGATTGTTCTGTAAAAATTATATGTAATCATTAGCGTCGTGTATCTGTGACGAAACATTTTGTTGTTTGTTCATTTTTAAATATCACAGTCGGCGATATTCAATCTCTGACAGGGCGGTCTGAAGACAATCGAATTTGAACCAGACAAACCTGAGTCACTGAGCCTGACCACCAATAAAATTGCATTTCCAGATAAAATATTCGCTTTGAACTAGGACCACTAGGCTACTTTAGACAAGGTCTGCAGTTGAACAGACATTGGTGGGCCTTTTTTTAGGAGCAATTTGATAATCACATAATAAATTATTGAAGAAGGCGGGCTTATTTGGAAGCAAGTTTTTCAAATTGAACACTGCTTATGATCATTCCATAAAAGATGCATAGAAACATGTTTTCACATTGCTACTAAAAAACTACCAAACTATAAAATGACCTTTCAAAATAAGAGTGTTGATAAAATATGTTACTTTTCAGTACAAGCTTCGTTATGTTTCTTCTCTTTTTTACTGAGTTGGTTACACAAATTCGTTTACTTCTACATGTTGTTTATTTTAAGACATGAATAATGAATAGTCACACCATAACAGCCATCTCAAAACCAGACATGCTCCTAGAGAAACCTGACCCGTGAAGATTCCGGGGTAGAATAGGTCTTCAGCAACCGATGCTTGCCGCAAAAGGTGACTATGCTTGTCGTAAAAGGCCACTAACGGGATCGGGTGTTCAGGCTCGCTGACTTGGTTGATGCATGTCATCAATCCCAATTGTGTGGATCGATGCTCATGATATTAATCACTGGATTGTCTGGTCCAGACTCGATTATTTACAGACCGCCGCCATATAGCTTGAGTGCGGCGTTAAACGACAAACCAACCTAGAGAAAGAAAGTTATGTATTGTGAAACACACGTGAGGTTTCCGGGACAGAAATGATACAATAATACAACGGCACTCTTCTTCAAATTTGCTCCTTTTGAGACCATGTTAGAAGGACAGTCACTGGTCTACGTTTGCGGGTCATCTGGGACATGATATGCGGAATGATAGTGATATGATTGAATACTAATTTTAAATTCATTGCTAAGACTGACGATGTTAAATTGAGCTAAATCATCATAACCAAGTGTCAACTGTTAAATAACCAATCACGAATACTCACCATTATTTCCAACAAGCCAATCCTCCTTTGTTGCCCTGTACTGCGTGTTGAAACTGTCTGCACTGGCCACATTCCAGTTGTCCATTTTGTCATAGTCCTCTGCTTTTGTAGCTGCGCGACGTTTTCCTGTATAATTAGTATAATGCAAGTATTCAAATATCAATGACATAAACATCATCCGAATCGTTTAGGAAAATGTCGAGTCTTAGTATCAACATTAACAATTTTTAGAAAATTTCAAATAGCAAGTGACATATTAATACTATAACTATAATCTGTATTACATTGCATAAACAGTGGAATAATGGCCTCGTCAACACGTGAATGAGATACTTAATATTCAATTCATGGCTTATTCAAGCGATATCAAAACGCGAAATATATCATTTATAATACGACCAGGAAACAATTTAAGATAGTCTTCTCATATCACATTTACTGATCTAATTTGGAAAATGAAATTTGAATGTATTTTTCCTCGTCCAAAGTACACTCACTGCTTTGTCCACAGCTGCCTTCTTTCTTACACACAATCAATCCGTTATTGATTACTTGACCATTTGTTCGGTCATAGAGGCACTTCGGACAGATGGTCAGTGACGCCGTTTCCTCTGCTTCTATCGCTCCTACCTTCACAGATTCGCGAACTTCCGACTGTTTTGGGGCTAAAAACATCGCCAGTAAAAGCTTACATGGTGACAAAGGAACTGTTTGTGTATGTGATGCCGTTGTTGAGTGATTATCAGTACGTACAATTATTAGTTTCTTTGTGTACTATTCACACTTTGACTTCATGCCATGTCTTACCAGAAGGAGTTGACATTACATGAAAAAACGCGAAGTCGCATCCCCATCTTTTCCTGAAAGCCACCAGACCTTGCACCAGAAACATACATCATGGATAATTTGGACCACATTAGGTGACGATATATGTATTCATCTTTGATCCCAAATGTTGTCTAAATAAAAACAACAAAAACATTTCCACGATGGTACAAAATATAATGCACTCCGTATACCTCAAACTACTGTAGACAGAATTTATAAACACTCCCGGTTTAATGTCATCACTTCCGGTTTGGAAAAAGCACATGATGAACTTTGACACTGAAAGTTTTAAACTTCTAGCTTAACTTAATCGCAAAATTATAAGTACACCCTCTTCAACAACATCACTTCTAGTTTGGTAGAACATATGTTCAATGCGGTAGAAGCTTGAAATTAATTATAAGTACCTTTGGGTAAGTAAAATCGCTTAAGGTTTGGGAAAAGACATGCCCAATACAATACAACCTTGAAACAGAACGTTTCATGCTCATAGCTACCTCTACATTAAAGTCACAAGATCTCCCGGTTTAATTACCTTCAGCTTCAACCTCAACCATGAGCTGCCAAAAAATCCTAATTGAATTAATATGTGGTAAATTAACAGCAGCACTCTGTAAATACAGTTTGTAATACAGTTCTACTACTACTTTTTTAACTGATTTGGTTTATGGGAAAGGACAATTGACTCGCCAACGATATGAATTTTTCCGTACTGTAGTTGTTCCATTCGCTAGAAGTATCGGCAGAAATTTTGAACTGCAAGATGACAGTGCCGGACCACAACATGTCAAGGACGTCACCGATTATCGCCTTCGAGAAGGCATACGGACTTTGGACTGGCATTCCCTGACATGAGAGTGTGCGCCACAGACCCAGCACCTGCCAACATGGCCAAGTGTTGGGTAGCTCTTCCCCGCGGAATGGTGGGCAACACCAAATGCATCCATAGGCAAGATAATCAACGACATACCCTTCAGGGTGTCTTGCATGTATTGCCTAACAGACACACCAGATATAGACTTACAAAATTAATTTTTCAGATATTTACCTTCATTACACTATCATTTCATCAGCTACCTCAGTTTGTAGTGTCATATCAGTGTTGTTATAACTAAACATTCAATATATCAATTGGAGAACAATGCTTACCCCCTCCTTGTATTTCTTTACTATCATTGACAACAGCGCCAGCATAGGCTTTGTTGAAGAGGCGGACCTATTGACAGGAAATATTTAGAATAAATGTGTCTGGGTAACATTTCTCGAAACTGAAAGTTGACATATTTGTTATGCATCTAATTATAACAGCTACAGGCGATTGTGGAGAATTTGTACAAAAGCACCCAAGCTTTGTATTGTCACGCATGATAAAATGTTATCCATCCTTCGGAAAGCTTATTTTCGAGTTGGTAAATTATGATGGAACTACAACACTTCAAGCTTATTGTGGTCACAAAGTCCATGCTTTGAGGACATTTGGTACCACACAATCTAATTAAAAGCGATAAAACAGTTTTCATAATCATAAGACACCTTTGCCAAAAGCATGAGAACCTTACATTTTGCAACCTCCCTTACAACAGAAAAATCTACTGCCGAGCAAGAAACCTTGTAAAACTTTACTCTTCGTACAACGATTAACGTTTACACAAAGCTGTTCCATGCATGTACATCTACCGAGAAGAAATATTTGTTTAAATTAAATGTCATTTCAGGGTCATGCTAGCTAATAACGAATACATATGTTAGGATCTATAATATTCACATACCAAATTCATTACATTTAACAAAACCCCTTCAATTTTCATAACACATCTCTACTGAAACCAGAGTCGAGCCCATTATTGGTATTTCAATATGGCTACCATGGCGAACAAATTCTGGTGTCATGAGTGGTTGGAACAAGCATATGAAGTTTCAGTTTTGGTTCATGGGCTCTGATATGACATGAAAGGACATTACAATTATGAGACCGGTCCGCTCGTTATCCAGGTACTTCGTCATATAGGTAAATGGAATGAACTTCGCAATGTACAATATGATACAATCCATTATGAGCAAGCTAATATCCTCATGTCTCAGAGTTTACTCACCTGGAACTGATATAGGAATTCTGTAGTTACTGTCACATTCTCTCTCCACATGCATTTTTTCCCAGTGTCTGAGAAGTTCTTATTACTGCGTACAGGTTCCACATATGTTGTCTGTTGCTGGTGAGAGAATATAATAACAGTCTTAAAAAGATTCGAAACAGCCTACATCAGCTTATATGAAATATATGAGTGACATGTAAAGCTTCAGAGTTTGAAAAAGGATTAGAATAATAGCTGTTTATGATTCATAGTGAATTTATGATAAACATATTTATCGAGTGTTATGCGCTTTTTAAAAAAGCACATCGTATCCCTTCAGCGACTTCAGGTAAATAAACAGGTAAAACAAACCTGGTCAATAAAAATATGAAATTCGATATAAAACATCACCAGACATGATGATTTACCATTAACATTCTATTTCCTGCTCTCCAAGGCATTATTTTATATGCGGAGCTTAAGATTATCGTGTGATTTGTCGTGTAAACTAAGCCGGAAATAGCAACTAGCTGTATACACGTTTTTCACAAACTACCGGTGCTTTAGTTAAAAAATACCCAGTGTTATAACGTCAAAGAATTTGGAAGAAATTGTACCTGAAATAATTGTTTCATCAGGAACAACATATTTCAATATCGTGTTACTTTATATGCAACTTTATATATATTTAAAACCATAAGAAGCATAAGCGTAGCAGTTTGGTACAGGTAATTGCTATTGCAGACTTTTTTTACGTATGGTACAATTTGACCAGTCACGGTAGAGAATTCCCGCACTACATGTATTTCGATTGCAAAAACCTTATGTTGACATGCAATAGTCAAGTTGCCACAAATATGTTTTTTGAAGAGTAAAAGTATGGCATTGATCATATATGTATCCATTCACTGGCAACTAAAGTTCGTTGCAACCTGCAATCTGACCTCGGCTGCTGTAAACAACGGTGAGTTGTGTGATCTACTGATCACTTCACATATGATTTCGTCGAAAACAATATTGAATGAAATCTTGAATAAAATTAATAAAATATATTCCAAACATGAGTCCAGATATCCAATGAACACGTTTTTCATAACCAGATAGTATAATAATAGGATTGAATTGCGTACTTGAGTTTGGATTTATTTACTGGTATTCCCGGTGTTCCCTGCTCGCGCTGATAATGTTTTTTTTATGATTGGGAAAAACATCCTGTCAGTGAAGAAACTTGAGCTTATAATTATTAAAAAGTAAGTATTTGGAGCCATGCGTTACCGCGCTCTATGACAGAGTTAGCGCTATATTGAAGGGCGCAATAGCCAGGAAACATTGCACTAAGATGTGCATTCCGTATCGTAGCGTATCGATAAATAGACCCACGTGTATCGTGGTATCGTTGATCAATTATCGCGATGCATCGAAATATCGGTGTATTGTATCACCCTTTGTTGTCAGTCAGTTGTGATCACAAGAATGGACAACAATATCACAAACAACTATAATCAACTATAATCTCAACAGGAATACTCACAACTTCTTACAACTATATGACCCGTGAAGATTCCGGGGTAGAATAGGTCTTCAGCAACCCATGCTTGCCGTAAAAGGCGACTATGCTTGTCGTAAAAGGCGACTAACGGTTGATGCATTTCGTCGATCCCAATTGCGCGGATCGATGCTCATGATGTCAATCACTGGATTGTCTAGTCCAAACTCGATTATTTACAGACAGCCGTCATATAGCTGGAATATTGCTGAGTGCGGCGTTAAACAACAAACAAAACAAAAACTTAAAACTATAGTCACATTGCCAAGGTAGTTAGCAAAGTGCCACATGTCATGATTCTACTTACGTTAGTGTAATAATTCAGATTGGCGCTGACAATCTTTCCATTTCTACCATCTTTTTGTTGCGGACACTTCCACGACACTTGTACCTTGTTGAACACACCAGGAACACTCTCGATCATGAAGTCTGTCACACCAATTGGCGCTGGAGACATAAGAGAGAAGAACAGCTTAAGATTATTTGTAAGAGGTTAAGTTGAAGAATTTAACCAGAGCCCAATGATTAAATAGATTCTTTCGTCTTATTCATAGCGTGTGTCCATACATGATCGTATATTAACTGATTACATTAGATCCCATCAATCAGAGAAATATTCTTATAGTACCTGATTCCAGAGTCATCTCAACGCTGCTGTTGACAATCATCGAAGCACCAATTTTTGTGTTAGCCACTATATCAAACTTGTATGACCAATAGCTGGAGAGACTGCCAATAATTTTCGTTTTAGTTTTCCAATCTGAAATATATAGTTCCTGATTAATCTCTTCTGCAAAGAATACGGAACATGAATTAAATAATTAAGTATTCAAACAATCATGTATCAGAATATGTAAAAAAACAGAAAGATACGTGTAGCCCTGGCGCGAAAATAATGACAAAAGCTCTATATTCGGCATAAACATGTATTATTATTTACCTTTATGATAGCTTTGTCCAGGGAATAGTGTAACTACTACTTAATTCAACCATATGTACGATAGCCATGAAATCTTATTAAGATCACCATTAGTCTGTCGGTTGGTCGTTGATCTGTCCATTCGTTGGCAGCATCTCTCGGACGAGAATTATATTTTATGTTTATATGTTAATACTGTAAAGGCTGTCACAGAAGCATATCAAATTAAGAACATATTTCCCGTTCTAGACAGTATATTTTAAATATTTTTGAAGATGGTTTATGTAGCTCTTTGGTCAGTTATATTTTCATTTAGCTTGACCACAGATACATCTATGTTCTTTTGGTAGTTTCTGGCTACATTTTACAGCTAATACCTCTGTCCTTCTATTCAAGGAAATTTGTTCAGAAAGCTAATAATTTGTATAATTCGCTGAAGTATAACGTCTTTTGGTATGACACGCCCGGGAATCTAATCACCGACCTTCGCTCTCCGAGCAGACGCTCTATCCACTGGACCACTGAGGCGGCCTCTTATGATATTGGTAATGGCTTTGACGTGAAACATTTTCAGTGTTCTAATATTTTCTTCAATGTGTCGTTTATGAATATTTTAGTTTATTTAACTGGGACACGGAATCACGACAGTTTTTGTGGTGGAAACATTAACTACGAAATCTATTGCATGTGCTATGTAATGTATATGCTTTTAATGTTATTTGTGCTACTGTTCTTTTTCTGGTTACAGCGGAAAAAGTAACAGTGCTACATTAAAAAGTGGTGTAAATGTTATTTTTACTGAAGATAACACCATAATATTTGATCATTTTAATATGACAAAACCCATACCATAACCATCAGAACGACACGCCCTGAAAGACTGATGGTGTAATTCAATTAACAATGACAATATCTGGTTGGACCACCATTTGCGTTGATAACAAGCAAAGCAGCGACGGCGCATTGAAGACAACATTGATTAAAAACAGCCTGGGGGATCGAGTTCCAAATGTCAATCAAAGATTGGCCCAACACACAAAGGGTTGAACATGATTTCGAACGATGTTGTCCCGGTAGTGAACATCATTCAAAGGGCCATTAACAATGATTGTTTGTTTGTTGTGTAACGCCGCACTCAGCAATATTCCAGCTATGTGACGGCGGTCTGTAATTAATCAAGTCTGGAATACACAATCCAGTGATTTGCATCATAAGCATCGATCTACGCACACTGGGATCGATGACATGCATCAACCAAGTCAGCGAGTCTGACCACCCGATCCCATTAGTCGCCTCTTACGACAAGCGTAACCTCCTTTAACGGCAAACATGAGTTGCTGAAGACCTATTCTACCCCGGATCTTCACGGGTCTCTTAACAATGAAGAGTTGTGCTGCCACTTAGTTGTGATGCCACTCCATACCATTATTCGTCCACCCCAAAACTGACAACGTTGAGTAACGCAAGTGTAGCTTAAGCGTTCTCCTCGACGCATGTACACCTTTCACGACCACCAGAGTTGTCCAGATGAAACATGGACTCATCTGTGAACAGTATACTGTCCCAGTCTTTTCTTCTGAAGCTCAGATGATGTCTACACTAAGCTTGGCGTACCTAACGGTGACGTCCAAGCAAAATTGGGCGCATCGCTGGACAGCGGGGCCTGACATTGTGTTCCCTCAACCGGTTGTGTACGGTTATGCCACTCATAAAAATTGGTCTCAAACCAGTAATTATTCCAGCTGTTAATGTGGAAGTGTGGTATCGATTCCGTTGATGCACCAACCGAATATGATTGCCTTGTTGTCGTGACGTCACAATAATAGAGATGATATTGTGTTTCGATGAACATTAATATCCCTGACAACTTCGTTTGTGCATTCCTGATTGCAGTGTATCCACGGCGCGTAGACGTTGATTTTCAGCAAGCCGAGGCATTGCGTAAGCGTTATTAAAGTTTTACAAAATGTTGTAATGGCCCATCTGAAAACTCGACAAACGTTGGGTGCAGTTCACATTACAAAAGACGTGTTGGAGTATCATGCTCCAAAGAAACAGGTGAACATCGGGCTTTCCTCTCACGTTGAGCTGACAGGCCGTGATGTAACTGGAGTACTGTTCAAGGCGGCGCTATATCATACCACTCACTCATGCCTCAAACAGATATGAATCAGATGATATGCGTGACACTGAAACTGAAATACTGAAATTTGTTTTGCCATTCACCCACATGCTTAAAAACATCATTTCTTAAATTGCATAGATGTATCTAGCATCATCATTTGTTGTTTGCTTTTTGTTGAACGCAGCAGTCAGCGATATTCCAGCTAACATTCCATAACATGACGGCGGTCTGTAAATTATCGAGTCTGGACTAGATAATCCAGTGATTGACATCATTAGCATCAATCTAGGCGATTGAGATAAGCTCACATGCATCTTTAGCAATAAAGATAAATACTCAGTCATTTGGGACATTAAAGACAATGTTTGTTGATCATGATATTTCCAAAGTTGAAAGCTGTACAGCAATGAACGCATTGCCTCATTTGGATAGAAAGTGGAACCCATGATAAATTCTTGTGCTGAAAATTGAATGACCAATTTGTAACTTTCCCAGGCTGATTTGCTTAGGATAACATTTTTCACAGTTATGTATATTTTTCCTGTATACTTGACATGTAGTGAGTGATTGAGTTTGGATTTACGCCGCTTTTAGCAATATGACGGCAATATCACGTCGGGGGACATGTAAGTCCTTAAAGAACTCCTTCACACTCGTACATGTATATCTCTTCCCTTTTCTGTTACAACTACCACAACCTTTCGTTTTACAAAAGTACTACTATTCACGTACAGCTACTATGATTTTCACTCACTGGAGGAACCTAAGAAACCATGTATGATGACAACGGTTACGGGAAATCTCCCGTTTATCATGTAGTGCCAAGAGATATGCAGCCAGATTTGTTTAAGGAGGTCCAATGCGTTTGGAAAAGCCATATCTACATGTGTATACTTACGCAATGCAATATTTAATAAAGCATTTATACCGATGTATGTAGCTTATTTATGTTTATCGAATAGATAACAGCATCCATAATATTATGACATATGTTATAACAAAGCAAGGTTGAGGACAATTCCATAAAATGAATTCACATACAATGTAAGTGTGCAATAGAAACAAACAGACCGTTAATCGATATGTTCTGTGACGGTTCATAACCGTCGCCCTCTTCCTGTTTTTCATACACAGTTAGGTTGTATTGAGTCACACCAGGTCGGGGCTGTGGAGGATCCCATGTCAGAGTTATCTCACTTGATGACCTGCTCTGTACCTTGAAGTTTGTAGGTTCACCAGCGGCTGAAACGAAGCCCTTTATTTATGTACATATATTGATGTAGTTGTATTTGCGCGGATAAAATGATATTGCACATTTGCATGAAACCGTGGTCCCTTCCATATTCCTCAGACAAAAAAATAGGCCAAGGACAGAATAGAAATACAAAGATGTAACACGCCGTGAATAACGCAGAGGGCATTAACTAAACTGTATTACGAGCAGTCAAAAATGCATAACCCTAGCATATTTAGATTAAATAGTAATTGTTCATAACTAATCAGTGTACTTGGGTCGAATTTCTAGAGTAAACTATATTTCGGGGTGCTTATTAGTTGTCCCTATGTATAAGGGGTATGTAGTTGTCAAAGAAGATGTGGGGAAGTAGAAATGGCCGATGTGATGTGGCTTTAGGAAGATAAAATGATCGAGGAGAACTGAAGCATTTCTTTATGACCTTCACGTATTGCCTGTCAATGTGTCTGGTAGATTCGTAAGTGTGCCGTTGGAGCTGAACAACGTATTATTTCGGGGCATCCTTCAGGTCGATCTCACGTTTGGCGGTTAAAGTACTGTTTTCCAGTTTAATAACGTTTATTCTTCATCACAGTAAAGTTGATAAGTATAACGAAAAAGTGGAGAACAAAAGTAAGGTAACGCCAGGACCTTTTGACTTTAAAGCTTATATTAATAGCTAATACTTTGTAAATTTATACTATTTGCCTCACCTTCCTCGGGTAGGAGTAAATTAACTTGGTCCGGTGTGCCTTGCCCCTCTTGATTGACAGCTACTACGTCTATGCTGTAGGATGTATCAGGGTTCAGGCCTGTTATGTTGTGCTGTATGACGTGGTCGACATTTTCAATGTCGGCCTGGGATATCACCACTGTCACGTCTGTTGTACATTCCGTCTGCATCTGTGGCATGGTCTATAAAAAGGAAATAGGAACAATAAGAACACGAACGAACACACACACACACACACACACACACACACACTCAGAAACACCGCAGGGACAATATACCACTCGAGGCTGCACCCGTGTCAAAAAAAGTAAAACCTTAAAAGAGTCATGGTAAGGGCAGGATTAATGGAGAACAAACTGTTTTTTTACTTCAATAACTGGAATCAACTTTGTATTATTTTTTGTAATGAGCCAAATTACATGCATTAATTACTTGAAACTATATTGGACATTGTATTGAGTTACAGTATATTTGAATTTGATCTGTATATCTACTAATCTAATATTGATATTTACTTTCTGAACACAACATCACAAACACTTTTCTTTGAATTTTATATACTTAGTTCGAAAAGAAGCGCACTTCTCATGTTGTAATTTCCGATCTCACTGATTTCCAATAAAAGTGATCCATTTGCACAAAAAGACAAATATAGCGCTAGAATAACATGTCTAGACACGTTCCGTGCATCGTTTTGGATTTGAAAACTGAGACTGTTCATATTCATGAGACAAAATGGCCAGAATGTGTCTATGAACGTGAAACGTAGCAGCAACCGTGCGATAGTTTGTTGAAGAAACGGAATGGCCCGAGTCCAGATTAGGCACAAATGATCCAGTTTTAATCAAGATTGAAACTGGAAAAAAGGCCAAAGTAATTGCAACAATCTGCAGGTTCACCACCCTACGTTTTACCATCTTATTGCACGTAATGCACAGGCAAACATTGCGCAAAGTCGCCCGAGAACATCAACGTGTAACGTTTTAATGAAAAGACGTGGTTTTGATCCGTTTTCACTTGCGCCAACGCCACCTTCCAGTGTCAACTGTTGGTTGGTTTATTGTTTTACGCCGCATTCAGCAATATTCCATCTATATGAAGGCGGTCTGTAAATAATCGAGTCTGGACCAGACAATCCAGTGATTGATATCATGAGCATCGATCCTCGCAATTGGGATCGATGACATTCATCAACCAAGTCAGCGAGCCTGACCACCCGATCCCGTTAGTCGCCTTTTACGACAAGCATAGTCGCCTTTTACGACAAGCATGGGCTGCTGAAGACCTATTCTACCCCGGAATATTCACGGGTCTACTGCCACACAGCCAATAATTAAGAACCCACCACTGACCTGTGTCGGCAAACAGTGCGTCGGTTGTCAAAGGCGAATGTCAGGTTGCAACGTCCATACTTTAGGATATGCGTTTCTTTTGGAATTAAATATAAACTATATAAAAAATATAGCTAACTTTCAATTGTTGCAGTTACTCTTCTGAGACTATATGTTTGTTTTTATTTTTCATTGCTAAAGTATATATTTCCGAAAAGCTTTAGAAAACAATTTCATTTAATGAGCATATATAAACACATATACCCGTTATCATTTAAATAATGATGACTCCCTGAATACATTGGGACCTCGGCATTGTCGGACAATTCCATTTAAGAAACAGGTGGGTTAAGTTTGGTATTTCCATATATTTCGCATATTTCTACAAACCTTGCGTCAATTATCTGTACCTTTGCTCCGAATACCGATAGTCAAATCTCTTCCACTTTTGGATGCGATCGTTCGGCCACTGCGTTTATCTGCGTAGCCCAGCTACATACATGGAGAACAACTTACAGGCACGTCCCTCTCAAATACAACGTCGTCCAATATATGACGTCATCAAGTTGCGAGCGCATATTTGAATCACTAGAAATGACGTCATGTTAGAACAATGTTTCATCGCTTTGATCTTCATTGTTCTTTGCTATTTATCGCGTAGCTATCTTAGTTTAAGGAATACCTTCTGTGGTTAAATAAGTTGACATCGTTTCTGTTGCAATTAGTGGTGGGATGTGTCTATATTTGGCTTGACTGACAAGACTATTATAGTTATATAAGCTCACCATATTATAATGTCACAACGTAACTGTTCACACATACTGTGACGTGGCGTTGCCATAACGTCACATTGTCGATTTTTACAACGACAATGAACACTTTCTATGATACCTGAGCAATTACGGGTCCTTTACGAGATCGAACCCAAGATGCCACTCTACTATGCCATTCGCGACTATGATATAAGTGTTTAACCAGGCCGCACTTGGAATATAGGTTTGGTTTGGTTTGGTTTGTAGTTTTACGCCGCATTCAGCAATATTCCAGCTATATGACGGCGGTCTGTAAATAATCGAGTCTGGACCAGATAGTCCAGTGATTAATATCATCAGCATCGATCCAAGCAATTGGGATCGATGATATGCATCAACCAAGTCAGCGAGCCTGACCACCCGATCCCGTTAGTCGCCTTTTACGACAAGCATAGTCACCTTTTACGGCAAGCATGGGTTGCTGAAGACCTATTCTACCCCGGAATCTTCCCGGGTCTAATAAAGAGGAGTAAAGGCGAACCGGCGACATGAATTCCTGACGAGATCTCCAAAATTCAAACAAACAGAAGCGGATAGAAGATTTAATCCCTTCATTCAATCATGGAATGGGTGACCAGTGCAACGCAAGAGAGTGTTTTGGCTAGCAGATATGCGGACACATGAATAATGTGGATGGTTCATAGTCAAAGAATAATACCAGATCACGTTTATTTCATGTGACCCTAAAGACCTACGCAGAAAAAAGGAACATAGAAATTGAACTATTGGCAATCCGCGCTCAATTTCAAGCGAACACGTCCCATTTTAATTCTGGATACTCTAAGTCCAGAAACTCTACGGTCTTTTCCCAGTCTCGGTCAAAGGTATTTACAAAAATAAGCATTGCTGTTTTCATGGGAACATACTAAGGAAGAAAAAATGAAAGAAATACAGTTTAAAAACTCAATATTTAGACCATTATTTTTTCTTTACTCAAAACTCATGCTTTTGTTTCGCAAATACTTAACTTGTATTCCATCAAGTACCATACACAAAATTTAACTCATTTTAACTTAATTCAACGATTTTATAGCGATATTGAAATAGTTCGCCCATGGGCGAGAAAAAGGTTTGGCCAATGGGCGAGAGATTTTTCCATTACACAAAACTTATGTGTTTGTTTCGCAAATATATTTTAATGCATTCCTTCACGTATCATGACACAAAATTTAACTCATTTTAACTTAATTCAACGATTTTATAGCGATATTGAAATATTTCGCCAATGGGCGAGAAAAAGGCTTGGCCCATGGGCGAGAATATTTTCCTTTACACAAAACTCATGTTTTTGTTTCGCAAATACTTAACTTGTATTCCTTCACGTATCATGACACAGAATTTAACTCATTCAACGATTTAATTCAACGATTGTATACGATATTGAAATATTTCGCCCATGGGCGAGAAAAAGGTTTGGCCCATGGGCGAGCATATTTTCCTTTGCTCAACAGTTTTAGTTTCGCAAATACATTAAGGGATTATAAGCATGACACATGATTCAACTTATTTTGACTTAATTCAACTAATTTTTGGCGTTATTAAAATATTTCGCCCATGTTTTCGTCAGTCCCTTTAAAGAATTAACTAATTGTTTACAAAGTATATTGTATCATGTGAAACACACTTTGTATTATATCATTACATTACTATTTTAAAAGGGCCTTTGGTTGGATGTTTTCTTTGTAGAAGTTTTACAAATTTCACCTTTTTGACATATTGCAACGATCTTTAATGAACCCGGCCTTATCTCTCAAAACGTTTTGACAGTTTATCATACAAATTCATGCACGTGTACACCAATTCATTGGCGTTATTTTCAAAGAAATTAAAGTTTAGTTTGTTTCTTTTTCACTTCCCATTTTATGTCTCGTTAATACATCACACTGGGAAATTAAGTGACACTAGATATGCAATAAACAGGTACACGTGCGCGTATTTTAATGGGAAAAAACCCGATTCGTCTTTCATTGCAGACCGTCTAGCTGAATATCTCACATTCTAACGAAATTTCGAAATAATTATTTCATTATATGCGGTGCGATGTTTACAGGCGATTGAGTGAATATTATGACACTAAAGCAACTTGTAAATGCATTGTCACTTTTGGTATGAAAATGGTAACAGTTCAGAAAAAAACCCAGCCTTCTTATGATAATTCTCATTAGTACGTTGTATCTAATTACAGTGTCGGCATTATTTACAGGTGATTCTACAATACCTGCTCGCGGTCAATTACGATCCAACACACCACGCGCGAATAAACAGTTATGCAGGTGTTGCTGTGGGCAAATACCTAGCCTGTATATGTATTTTTTTGTGGATACATGTATTACATATTTTCGTTGATATGTGGATATATTAAGCACAAAGACAAATAAAAAAGTTTATGAAAGATGAATAAGTGCCTTGATATATTCAACGAGATGTGTATCATCGTTTAATGGGTCATTCAATAAAAGTATGTTTGGAGGAGATATCAAAGGAGCCGCCAAATATACAAAGTGTCGTCCGGTGAACTACCAACTCACCCTGTCCGTAGGAGTTATGTAATCGGTACACAAATATATTTGATGCGGTGTCAGTGTGGAAGGAGTTTGAATTACGTCCGCCCTTGGCCACAGAGGTAATCCTCAAAGTATACTCGTAACAATCAACAAGGTCAATGCAGTACTAATTACCTAGTGACGCACGTAACAACGACTGTCAATCTGTCTGCTACAGCTACCATACCATCATCCCTGTCACAACTGGCATATCAACGGCTTATTCAAAATATTAATTGTAGAAACGTCGTTGAGAGACTAACGTATGTCGTATACAGTCCTCATATTTGATTAAAAAAAGTAAATACGTCAACTGGGAATTCAAGTTGATGTTACCTTCCTTATATCAGCTAACAGCCCTGTTTGTGAAAATATGTACCAGACATAAGATTTTTAGACTAATAAAATCAATTGTAAGACCGCATAGACCATAAAACCGAATTAAATATGTCTTGGTATTATCTCTTGTGTATTAGATGATGGTAATGACCTGAAA